AATTGAACCCTCATATTATCGGGGAAAATAAGTCGTAAATGAAATTTTTTCATATACTAGACTAATATCTCGAGACATGCGTTACGGTCTCGTATGGCATATCAAAGAAAGACAAAGAGCATGATTATGTACCCAAAAAAAAAATTAGATACAAAATTTTAGCAAACGTTACCGGTCCGCAATTGTTGCCAACTAATCTATACATGGAATTAATCTCTTTATGAATATATTTAAAATGACACTTCTACTCATCGCGTAACAACCCACAAATACTGCGGTGTGAATAAGGAAAGTCGACCGTGACATAATTAAAAGACATATATTACCCTATTTAAACATAGGAACAAATTATCACATGTAGTATATATATGTATCTAGACATATTTCTACACCTCCTACGTACGAAACTATTATGTACAGAGACATATTTCTATATCTCATGCATTGCCATTAAGTATATGGATTAAATTAAAATTAAAAAGGTTAATATTTATCTCTAATATCTGAAATATTCTCATACCACTATAATAACAACCATCAATTTCACTCGATCAAGTTTTACTAATTCTTTTATTTAAAGCACAATGCCATAAATACTATGAGTAATTAATAATGACTTGACCCGTATAAAATTAACATAATTAGTTTATCAATCAATTTTGACTTATTTGACCACTATTATATGTTTGACTTGATTAAACAATCAGTACTGAATGTTTAATTAATTAACTTTTTGTAACAGCTTATTGCTCAAAAATGTTAAAATTCAAAAAGTTACTAAGAGTAATTTTTTTTTATCAAATTTTTTTTTTAAGAAAGTCATTTTGCATATAATCAACTATAAGTTAATTAACAACTAATTTACCAAACACGTTTCTACACTCAAGCTAATGCTATCAACTAATTAAACCTACTAATCCAATCAACTAACAACTATTTACCAAACACCCACAAAGAAAATATTAAATACACACGTTAAAGCATCATATTTTGCCAACACGCTTAGCCATAGATTGTCCATACGTATATATTATGAAAATTTCCAAAAATATTACAGAGTAAAGGCCAAACTTGGTAAAAAAAAAAATCATAATTATGAAGCCATTAATAATTGCCAACTCATAGCAAGCCAAATTTAGTCAATAAGTTAAAATTTAGAAAATATTCCATAAGAGACACACGCAATATTCATTGCTATAATTAATGCATTATATTCCATTACTACCAATACTACTACTACTACTAAAATAAATAAATAAATAATAAATAAATAATAATAATAATATAATAATAATAATACAATGTTTGGGTATAATTTTTTTTATTTTTAAAAAAATTACTGACTCTATTACATTGTAGTAAATGTTTAGGTATAACTTAACCGATCAAATAATGCAAAATAAATTCGTTTTTTTTTTTTTTTTTTTTTTTTTTTTTGCGATTTACCTCTTCTATCAATTTCCAGGGCGAGCAATAACGGTATAACATAATTTTTTTCATCTATTTTTTTTTTTTTTTTGCAATTTATCTCTTCTATGAATTTTCAGGACGGGCAAAAACGGTATAACATAATTTTTTTCATCTATTTATATATTTAGTTCATATGTGTTTATCTTGGGTGGCTAGAAGTTTTTAACAAATCCTAATTCTTCGGAAAATATCTGTACCGGCTCACGCTCTCCAGCGTGACTAAACCTAGTACTGAGCCGCCATATCAGCAGAAGTGGGAGCAACAAGATTATCCACTTTGTAAAGAAAACATTCTCTGAAAACCAGAAATCATGAAATTCGGAAATGGGGTTTTTCTTGTGGGGGCGTAGATTCCATGAATCCTGGTGACAGCCTGACGTCCGGTTGAAAAAGAATTTTCCAGGTTTATTATTATATTCTATTCGACGCTTTCATACCAATTCTTTAATACCCAGTGTAGTATTTAACGTACGTTGATGATAACAACGACATATATACTCGAGAAGAAACTAAATTTGGCCTGGAGTGGCGTCTTTTTTTTCTTTTTGTTGAAGAGAGAGATCGAGAAATTCTGGGAGCAATCGTAGCAGACTAGCAGATCAGATCGGAAGCCATGGAGGAAGATGATGTTTATACCAAGGACGGGACTTTGGATTATCGTAACAGACCGGCAAACAAGAACAAAACAGGAACCTGGAAGGCCTGCCCTTTTATCTTGGGTAAGTTTAAGTTTTCTTCATTTTATTTCTCTTCTGTGATTAGATTCTTTGTTGATATGGTGATTCTGGGCAGGGAATGAATGCTCGGAGAGATTGGCGTACTATGGGATGAGTTCAAATCTCATGATTTACTTCCAAACCCGTCTGAATCAATCCACCATCAGTGCTTCGAAAAACCTGTCGAATTGGTCGGGGACCTGCTATATCATGCCGTTGGTCGGAGCGTTTCTTGCTGATGCATATCTGGGAAGATACTGGACCATTGCCACCTTCTCTATCATCTATGTTATTGTAAGCCCTTTACTTATTTTCCCTTGAATTTGTGTTTGGTTTATGAAATAAAATTGATTTAGAGTGTGTGAATTGATATAAAGGGGATGACATTGATGACACTATCAGCAACAGTTCCTGGAATTAGCCCAACCTGTATCGCACATGAAAAGTGCACCGTGACAGGGAGAGACACCATGGTGTGCTTCATCGCCCTGTACTTGGTGGCGCTAGGGACCGGGGGGATCAAGCCCTGCGTCTCATCCTACGGCGCAGACCAGTTTGATGACACTGATGAAAAGGAAAGAAAGCACAAGAGTTCTTTCTTCAACTGGTTCTATTTCTCAATCAATATCGGGGCGCTCGTGGCCTCCTCTCTGATCGTGTGGATTCAACAGGAAGTGAGCTGGGGGTGGGGATTCGGTGTTCCTGCTGTGGCTATGGCCATGGCTGTCACCTTTTTCTTCTCCGGGACTCGTTTGTATCGCTACCAGAAGCCCGGTGGCAGCCCTTTCACGCGGCTGTTTCAGGTTATTGTGGCTTCTTTAAGGAAACGTAAGGTTAAAGTGCCAATTGACAAATCTCTTCTGCACGAGACTTCAGGCCTTGAATCAAACATCCAAGGAAGTCGTAAGCTTAGCCACACCAATGAGCTAAGGTATATATATATAATCACTTTTTACTTAACAGAAAACAGAATCTAATCTTTGAAACACATGGTTTCAGATTCTTTGACAAGGCAGCTGTGGTGGAATCGGATGAATACAAGAAGGGCTCTTTTAGTCCATGGAGACTATGCACTGTGACACAAGTTGAGGAACTGAAGTCGATTATTCGCCTGCTTCCAATCTGGGCAACGGGCATAATCTTCAGCACAGTTTATGGCCAAATGAGCACACAGTTTGTGTCACAGGCCATAGGGATGAACACCTACGTGGGAACCTTCAAAATCCCCGAGGCATCCCTCAGTGTTTTCGACACCCTAAGTGTCATAGTTTGGGTGCCAATCTATGACAGGCTTATAGTGCCAATGGCCCGAAAGTTCACAGGCCACAAGTCCGGCTTGACTCACCTCCAGAGAATGGGGGTCGGGCTGTTCATATCGATCCTAGCCATGGTTTCTGCAGCCGTCTTAGAGATGGTTCGTCTTGCAATGGTGAAAAGGCACAATCTTTACGACGTTACAGAAGTGCCCATCTCGGTTTTCTGGCAAGTCCCTCAGTATTTCATCATAGGATGTGCAGAAGTGTTCACATTCATCGGGCAATTGGAGTTCTTCTATGATCAAGCCCCGGATTCCATGAGAAGCTTGTGCTCTGCCCTCTCGCTTACCACCAATGCCATCGGGAACTATTTGAGCTCTTTCCTTGTCACCATTGTTGCAGACATTACTACCAGGAATGGCAAGCCTGGATGGCTGGCCAACAACCTCAACTATGGCCATCTGGACTATTTCTTCTGGCTTTTGGCTGTGCTTAGCGTGATGAACTTGGGGGTTTTCGTTGTGGTGGCGAAGATGTATACGTACAAGAAGGCCATCAACAAGGTCTCTGATCTAGTGGAAGAAGCTGAGAATGGCAGCTTAGCTTCTAACTAGTAAGCAGGATTATCAGTTATTCATCTCTGCTGCACTTCTGTTTATTGTTGTAAGAACTCTTATGAATTGGTTTAGCTTTTAGTATTTAGCTATTGAAGTGGAGAAACATGGCTACAGGTTAAATACTGGTTTCAACTTTATTTCATATGAATGAATTTATGTTTCTTTATTACCGGATTTGCACTCATTACCTTCTCTGGTACGAGAATCTTGTTTCATCCACTCGGTTATTCTTTTCAGAGTTGTTTTGTTGGGTTTAAATTTATGAGATTTTTTCTTTTTTTAAAGTTCAAAATCTAGTTTAATCTTGTGGCCTATCAAGCGTATTAAAAATTAAAAGTCTTTTTCAAAGTATTTATTTTATAAAATTTCTAGCCACCTAAAAAAAGAACAAGTTAAAAAGAAAAAGAAAATTGGGGTTAAATACCAAATGGAGAAGTATTTTGAAATTGGCATTTTGGTGTGTGACGATGAGGACAAAAGTGGTTGCGCAATCGTTTTTGTGTTCAGAGACAATATAATGGGTCCATCAACAACAATAATTTGATGACTACAAAACTAGGAATTGAATCTTGATTCAAAATTATAGTCATTTCTTAAATTTTAGAAGCAGTGTCTTTAGAGCATCTCTAATAGGAGGGAGATTGTCAGCGCGTGACTGTCACAATTGAAATAATTTTACTAGCCTTCTCTTCTCCATATTTCTTAAAAACCGTAGATAAACTTTGCATTATCCCTGGGTGTAGATGCTCTTAGTCTATTGACAATTAAAATGTACCAATTTTAGAAGCAGTGTATTTAGTCTATTGACAATTAAAATGAACGATAGTACACTAAAACTGAGTTTACAATATACAGAAATAAACTTGTATTAAAGATCCATCATTGCGGTATGACCATCGATTAACGATAACATTAAAATGGACGGGTACAAGTTACGATCCTAGTACATTTAACATGAAGGAAGATGGTAAGATTGAAATGTATCATGTATGTAAGCTAGCTTATTGCATGTCTAGAAAACATTATACTTATCATTAAACTACATCATTATCACAAGTTACGATCCGAGTTGCCATTCTCAGCATGAACAAGGTCGGAGTCCTTATTGATGGCCTTCTTGTATGTATACATTTTCGCCACCACAACGAAAACTCCGAGGTTTACCACGCTGAGCGCCGCCAAAAGCCAGAAGAAGTAGTCCAGGTGGCCGCGGTTGAGGTTGCTGGCAAGCCAACCAGGCTTGCCATTCCTCGTACTAATGTCTGTAACAATGGTGACGAGGAAAGAGCTCAAATAGTTCCCAATGGCGGCGGTGGTAAGGGAAAGGGCAGTGCCCAAACTTCTCATGGAATCCGGGGCTTGGTCGTAGAAAAACTCCAATTGTCCGATGAATGTGAACACTTCTGCGCACCCAATTATGAAATACTGGGGAACTTGCCAGAAAACTGAGATGGGCACTTCTTTAGCGTCGTAAAGATTGTGCCTTTTCGCCATTGAGAGCCGCACCATCTCTAACACGGCGGCGGAAACCATGGCGGAGATGGATATGAACAAGCCGACACCCATTCTTTGGAGGTGAGTCAAGCCGGACTTGTGGCCGGTGAGTTTTCTGGCGGCGGGGACTATGATCTTGTCGTAGATTGGAACCCAGACAATAACGCTGATGGTGTCGAAAACGCCGAGGGATGCCTCGGGGATTTTGAAGGTTCCTACGTAGGTGTTCATGCCTTCGGCTTGTGATATAAACTGTGTGCCCATTTGGCCGTACACTGTGCTGAAGATTATGCCGGTTGCCCAGATTGGGAGGAGGCGAATAATGGACTTGAGTTCCTCAACTTGTGTCACAGTGCATAGTCTCCATGGACTAACTGAGCCCTTCTTGTCTTCATCTAATGATTCTTCCACCACTGCTGCCTTGTCAAAGAATCTGAAATCATGTGTTCAAAGATTGGAATATAATGATTGTGTTTTCTTACTCACAAAAAGCGAAATTCTCTTTCCTTACCTACTCCGGGCCTAACAAACTATTAGAGGGGAAGTGAGTCACTAGCCCATTAGGTATGACCGTTTTGAGTTAATACCATTTGGCATTCCGGGATATGCTATGTTTAGTCCTAATTAAACTTTCCAATTGATCAAAGACTGTTTTGACTTTCAAATTATTAAGATTCTTGGGGGTGTTTGGTAAATAGTTGTTAGTTATTAGCTGATTGGGTTAGTAAGTTTGAATAGTTGATATCATTAACAGATTGTAGAAAAGTATTTGGTATTGTTTAACCAATCAAATAGCTAATAGTGGTCAAATAAGTCAAAATTGACTTATAAGCTAAGCTAACTATGTTACCAAGGCACCAAGACTATATGGTCTAATGGTACCCAAGTTGAACTTTCATTTAGACGGTTGCGAGTTTGATCCTCAGTGGAAGTTGAAGGACCCTAAATGGTTAACGGTTAACTTAGTAACAATTTGAAAGTGGAAAAACCGAACTTTTAACCCATTCTGCAGTTTTCTATCGAGTAAAAGGTGATTAGACAAGACACATACCTTAGCTCATTTGTGTGGCTAAGCTTACGACTCCCTTGGATGTTTGATTCAAGGCCTACGGTCTCGTGCAAAAGAGATTTGTCGGACGGCACTTTAACCTTACGTTTCCTTAAAGAAGCCACGACAACCTGAAACAGCCGCGTGAAAGGGCTGCCCCCGGGCTTCTGGTACCGATACAAACGAGTCCCCGAGAAGAAAAAGGTGACAGCCAATGCCATAGCCACCGCAGGAACACCGAATCCCCACCCCCAGCTCACGTCCTGTTGAATCCACACGATCAGAGAGGCCGCCACGAGCGCCCCAACATTGATTGAGAAATAGAACCAATTGAAGAAAGAACTCTTGTGCTTTCTTTCCTTTTCATCGGTGTCATCAAACTGGTCTGCGCCGTAGGATGAGACGCAGGGCTTGATCCCCCCGGTCCCTAGCGCCACCAAGTACAGGGCGATGAAGCACACCGCGGTGTCTCTCCCTGTCGCGGTGCACTTATCATGTGCGATACAGGTTGGGCTAATTCCAGGAACTGTTGCTGATAGTGTCATCAATGTCATCCCCTTTATATCAATTCAGACACTCTAATCAATTTTATTTCATATACCAAACACAGATTAAAACAAATAAAGCGCTTACAAGGCAACCCCAATCAAGTTGGTCCGGCTGTACAGGAGCAGCCTATTAGCTTTCTTGGTTTGATCCAGTCAGCTATGAGCGTTTACACTAAGGTCATAAGACTGGATTTATCCCGTGCACACCTTCAGATAGTGAATACGGTTTTTGTTGTCACTCAAAATAAAGGGCTTACCATAACATAGATGATAGAGAAGGTGGCAATGGTCCAGTATCTTCCCAGATATGCATCAGCAAGAAACGCTCCGACCAACGGCATGATATAGCAGGTCCCCGACCAATTCGACAGGTTTTTCGAAGCACTGGTGGTGGATTGATTCAGACGGGTTTGGAAGTAAATCATGAGATTTGAACTCATCCCATAGTACGCCAATCTCTCCGAGCATTCATTCCCTGCCCAGAATCAGATCACCATATAAACAAAGAATTAAATCTAATCACAGAAGAGAAATAAAATGAAGAAAACTTAAACTTACCCAAGATAAAAGGGCAGGCCTTCCAGTTTCCTGTTTTCTTCTTGTTTGCTGGTCTGTTACGATAATCCAATGTCCCATCCTTGGTATAAACATCATCTTCCTCCATGGCTTTCGATTGCTCCATCATCTGCAGGCCAATTTTTGTGAGTTTACTAAATATATACACTCATGGGATTAAAGAATTCGTATGAACATGTAGGCATATCATATAAGGCCGGCACCAAGATTCCTGGAATCTGAATTTCATGATTCCTGATTCTCAGTGAATATTTCCATAGAAAGTGGATAGTTTTGTTTCCCCTTCTGGTGTTCAGTCACTGGGAGTGTGGGAAGCTGGAGTAGGTACTTATACTTTTCTTCCTTTTGTGTGTGTGTGTGTGTTTTTTTTGTTTTTTTTTGTTTTTTTTGTTTTTTTTTTTTTTTTTAATTTTTGAAAAATATTAGGAATTTTATTATGAGAATTATTCACATCAGATCTTATGTATTGGTCATTTGGTACATTCACGAGATATGATATGTAATCAAATAAAATCATATCATTTAGAATATAAGCATTATTTAATTTGACAGTTATATATTGATTAATGGTAAGTTGTTAGTGGTTAATTGTTAGCTTTTTGTAAGAAGTATTTAGTAAAATTAATTGAGCATGTGAAATGATTTTTAGAAAGCTTTTAATTCATGAAATGTAAAATTACTCCTAGTAATATGATTGACGTCTGAAATGTAATGCAAAATTAGGGAAATATAAAATTATATGGCGGAGAAATATTTTGAAATTTTATTTTGGCATGTAATAATGAGGATGGACATAAGTGGTTCCAATTGTTTTTTTTTTTTTTGAATGACAAGGGAAACTCGCAATGACTACTAGATGGTGTATGTGTATTGAGTAAACTCTATTATTTCTTATGTCTTTCTTATTATTGAGTAAAATACATAAATCAAATTTTTTTTTTAAAAAAAATTGCTCTCACAAATCACACAAAAGAAGTAAATTGGACTATAAAGACCCTAAGTGACAAGTTTAACCAAAAAGATATTTGCAAGAATCTGGTTGCAATTGTGTTTTTTTGTGGTGAGAAATAATTTTGGGGGTCCATCAAGAACAATAATTTGACTGGAAATTTTGGAATTGAAGCAGTGATGGTTGTTACGTTGTGCTTTCATTAGCTCAATGCGTGAAGGATAACATTAAAATGGACTGGTAGATTCATATCATTCACATGTGTTATTGCAAAATTCTACCATAAATAAAGAAAAATGAAATAAGAGATAGTCAAAGTGATATATAGTGTTAATTTCTTCTTTTTTTTTTTTTTTTAAATGATTAGGAAAATTTACCTCTAATATTTTAAAATGTGTACAAAATAAACTCGCTTTTATATAATAGCTTACAAACCATATATAAATTTTATTTCATATTAAATTTAATTTTTTGAGTTAAAAATTGATCATATTTAATTTCATTTTAATTTTTAAACATATGTCGTCATTTTCAATTTTTAAATTATGTCGTCGCTTTCAATCATTTGATAATTAAAATTATAAAATATTAAACCTAATTAGTTTTAAACTTAAAGATTAAAAAAACATTTACTTTACATTGATTCGAACACTAATAGTGATATATATCCACACAATGATTACTAAAACTATAGTCGAATTTAATAATAATTTAGGGACTAAATTTATACTTCAAATAATTGAATAACTAGTCCTAAAGGGATGTTAAGTACTTAAGTGGGTGTATCGGTGTAGTATAATTTGTGTACTAGAATGTCACGAATTTGATTTTTTTTAACAGCCTCTTGATAAAATTAGTACACAATTTGCTTAGTGCAGTTTACATATCATATGTGATTTACAGACTTACACATGAATAGAGTTTATTTATTGTATACCTTCTACAGATTTATTTTCATGACTTGAAAAAAAAAAAGTATTTTTTAAAATTTAATAATTTGGTGTAAATGCTATAGCAATGACTTAATCCTTGTGCTTATGCTATGGTGACGAAATATTGAAAAGTAACAATTTTTGGATTTCTATTTTCCACGAGAAAATATGGTATGGTCGTAATCAAGCTAAGGTACGTACGTAGATGAGTTGCCGTTCCCTTATTTTCTATATAAGATAACAGATAAAGAAGAAAAAATATAATTCCAATTTTGTTTTGTTTTGGATTTTCTAAAGTTAAAAGTTAAAACAGTGTGCGTTAGTTCTTGTATTGTTCTGCCCACTTGCATAGACCACAGATTCGCATTCACACTGCATGCATTTGTAGCCGTGCCCGTAATTAATTACAAATAAGTGATCAATTTTGATCCTTCCAGTATTGTTTTGTCCAATTTCCAGAAATCATTCCAAATTTAAAGAAATAAATTTTAATTCACCCTATATTAGGGGATTAAATAACAAAATGTTTTTTTAAATAAGATCTCGAACGACCAATTGATAGAGAATTTATTAGGCTAAAAAATATATATTTTTTAGCCTATTCAAAAAGGAGTGGCTTAAACCAACATGGTTGGTGTGATGGTTCATCACCTTGTCATTTAAGCATGAGGTTGGGGTTCGATCGCCACCCATGTGAATGGAGCAAATAATTTGGCCAATCCCCAATCACTTAGTGTGCTGACAGTAGGGATGCGGAATTAGACTTCTAGCTATCGGTTGGAGGGATATCCTTAGACAACCAAAAAAAAAAAAAAAGGAGTAGCTTAAAGGGTGGAATATGATTTTAGTACTTGAAAGTCTAATTTAGAGATTCTTGTCTACTCCCTATTGGTTAAGCCGGTTGACTATATGTTTCCCTCTATCAACTAAAAATAATAATTTTTGCCTATTTGAATAATGAATAAATACCCAAAATGGTCCATCGATTATAACTAAATTCACAAATTGATCCTCAACTTTCAATTTCACCCAATTAAGTCCTTAACTTTGCAATTTTGACACGATTTGGTCCTCCATCTAATTGACCGTTTGTTGACCGTGATCGACGATCTCCAGAAGAACCTTCAGCTCTCGTCGGAGCACGTGGAGGCCTCCAGGATGACGTTGCACCGGTTCGGAAACACGTCGTCTTCTTCGCTCTGGTACGAATTCAACCACATTATATTGAATCCAAAGGGAGGATGAAGAAGGTGACCGGGTTTGGTAGATTGCTTTCGACAGTGGATTCAAATGTAACAGTGCGGTCTGGAAATGCAACCGGAACCTTAAAAAACTGACGATGGACCATGAAATTACATATATATCCTCAAAAATCACAGTCAACAAACGGTCAAATAGACAGATGACCAAATTGTGTTAAAATTACAAAGTTAAGGACTTAATTGGGTGAAATTGAAAGTTGAGGACCAATTTGTGAATTTAGCTATATTCGAGGGACCATTTTGAGTATTTACTCTTGAATAATCTAGTCCAAATGTACCTATCTTAATGTCGTGTCTCATTCGTCTTGTATGATGCATACATATATAAATTAAAATTATAAAAAAATTAAAAATTATTCGAGGTACAAAGAGAAACTCATAGTTACTATTTAAAAGTGTACACAAAAACAAATTTTATTCTTACGCAATAGTTCACAAATCACATTAAAAAAATTGTACTAAATCCTTTATAAAAAACCTTAACCAAAAAAATTATGAATTAGAGTCGTTACTTTGAAAAAATTGATGTCACTATCTCACCCCACTCTACCCATCACCTTCCTAGCCATAATTGCTGCATTCAATGAAGTCGTGGCCCGTGACTTTGTGGATGTAGTTTTCATTCACACTGCAACCAATCGTTATATCCTACACCGCGGCGCACATAGCACTGTGCGTCGCGCGCCTCCCAAAACGATGTCGTTTTGGGGTAGTGTTGGGAGGCGCGGTAGGAAGTTGCTGAGATTATGTGTATTTGTTCACAACGTTATGTGTATTTATTCATAACGTTATGTGTATTGGTTCATACAGTTATGTGTATTTTTTATACAATTATGTACATTTTTTTTATACAATTATGTACATTCGAATCAAAAAATTTGTGTGTATTATGTTAAGAGTTGATGTGTATTATGTTAAAAGTTTATATTTATTATGTATTATGTTAGATTATGTGTATTATCTTTTAAAAAGAGTATGTATATTTTGTTATATAATTATGTACATTCATGTATAACATTATGTGTATTATAGTATAACATTATGTACATTCTTGAACAGCGGGTTTTTTTTTTTAAAGAAAAAACTACTGCCATTCACTAGGGCAGGAAATTTCAAAAAAAAAAAAAAAAATTAAAACGATGTCGTTTTGCATCTGGACGCATAGTACAACGCGCGCCGTGGTGTAGGATATAAATTGCCCAATGCAACTCACCACTCCATAACTTCATCATTAAACTACATCACCCTCTTTTGTCCTCACACTCCCTCCCATTTCGCTATCAAGTTCAAAATCTGGGGATGTGGTTAAATAGAAGAGACTCATTTATCCTTAACAAAATATCAAAAGTTTAATCATTAACTTTATGTATGGAACAATCTTAAATCTTCAGATCAACTGTCCAACACAATAGACGTACTTATAATTCAGCCAGAGAATTAGTTGTGTAGTTCAACATTTACTATATGTATTTGTCCCGTTATGAACACACACACGGATATACACAGATACTGCATTATCCAGGTGCCGTTACGCCTGCCCTGTTTGACCTTTTATCTATTTTAGACACAAGATTACGAATGAATCAGGAATCCCACCTTTTCAGTATCTCCGGAATCTGTGCGGTGGATCTCTTTTTCGCTGGCATCCACAAAGACTGAAACTTTCGTGTTCACACTCGATACTAAAAGTCCACTTAGTCAAACCTGCAATCATCATTCATCAAAGGCCGATAATTAAGTCATAAACTACTTAATTATAAGTTATTGTATGCTTAGTTTAATTATAAAGAACCTCACGTTAACTTCATCCTCATCTCTTCTTTCCCTGATTTTGTCGCCTTCCACCCCGCCGGAGATCTGTATGTTCCTGGGGTTTTCCAGAGCAAGCAAGAAATTTAAACTTGCGGGTATGTTTCACATTTTCATATTATTATTCTTTTATCGGATTGGATTATACTGTTGAGAGTGAGTGGTTATGTAAAGGCATGTTCTTGAGAAAATTTCAGGTGAATACTGAACCAAAATTGCTTGAATTCCTGTTCAAAATGCAGTATAGAGTTTTCTCATTTTTGGGTTATGGGTATGGTGATTTATCTGCTAATTTCTCATATTTTTCAGTTGGTAACTTGTGAAAGCCATGGGAGAAGTTCATAGAAAAGATGATGATCTTTATACCAAGGATGGGACTGTAGATTATCAGGGTAACCCTGCCAAGAAGAATGAAACTGGGACCTGGAAAGCATGCCCTTTTATCCTAGGTTTTCTTTTTCTCAACTTTCCCTCTTTCTTTTGAATCCTTAAATTTTAGAAAGTTTGTTACTTTTTCATGTTTTTTGTTGTTGTTGTTGTTTCTCTGAGTTATTGTATTGGGTATTTGATTGACAGGAAATGAATGTTGTGAAAGGTTGGCATATTATGGAATGAGCACAAATCTTGTCCTGTATTTTAAGCATAAACTCAACCAGCATAGTGCTACAGCTTCAAAAAATGTATCGAATTGGTCAGGTACATGTTACATAATGCCACTCATCGGGGCGTTTCTTGCTGATGCCTTTATGGGAAGATACTGGACTATTGCCTCTTTCTCGATCATTTATGTTATTGTAAGTTCTTATTGAAGTATATATGTATGTTGTGTGTTTATAAATGGCCCGATTGTGTTAATGTTTGTGCTAAGATGTTGAGGTTGATAAACTCGAGTGTCCATCCCTTTATGTAATGTGCAGGGAATGGCATTGTTGACATTGTCAGCATCGGTTTCAGGCTTGAAGCCAACGTGTTCGAAGGATGGTGTTTGTGATCCAACGCTGGCACAAAGTGCGGTTTCCTTTATTGCCCTTTACGTGATTGCTCTGGGTACTGGCGGGATCAAGCCTTGTGTTTCGTCTTTCGGGGCGGATCAGTTTGATGACGACGATGAAGTTGAGAAGAAACACAAGTCGTCTTTCTTTAACTGGTTCTATTTCTCCATCAATATCGGTGCCCTCATTGCTTCTTCTGTGCTGGTTTGGATACAAGATAATGTCGGTTGGGGGTGGGGTTTCGGCATTCCTGCTGTGACCATGGCTGTTGCTGTAGTCAGCTTCTTTTCGGGCACGAGATTGTACCGTAACCAAAAACCTGGCGGGAGCCCTCTAACCCGGATCTGTCAAGTGCTCGTAGCCTCTGTAAGAAAGTATAAAGTTGCGGTTCCTGCAGAAAAGTCTCTCCTTTATGAGACTGCAGATGCTGAGTCTGCTATCACTGGGAGCCGCAAGCTTGATCATACAGGAGATTTTGGGTAAGCATATTTGATATGTTTAGCTTTTGTTCTTATGAAGTTCTATTCTGTTGAGCATATAATATTAACAGAAACATAAATGTGCAATCCAACTATTAGTTGAGATGGAGCACATACTTCAATTTATCCGATAAAAAAAAAAGAGACTATGGTCCACGTGTTGCTCGGCCTGTACACGTGAGAGGGGGCTAGCATATAATATAACATAAACGTAAGGCAGCAGTTGAATCCACAAAAAACTGAATCTTTTTGCATAATATTTACTGCAGTTTCTTTGACAAGGCAGCAGTTCAGGTGGAATCAGATGAGAAGAAAGACTCGATAGATCCATGGAGACTCTGCACAGTGACTCAAGTTGAAGAGCTGAAAGCGATCGTAAGGCTGTTACCCGTATGGGCAACGGGGATCATCTTTAGTACGGTTTATGGTCAAATGAGCACTTTGTTCGTGTTGCAAGGCGCTGCTATGGATACTCGTGTAGGGAATTCCACCTTCAAGATCCCACCAGCGTCGCTCAGCATCTTCGACACGCTTAGCGTCATCTTCTGGGTCCCGGTCTACGACAGAATCATAGTCCCCGTAACGAGAAAGTTCACGGGACACAAGAACGGCCTGACACAACTCCAGAGAATGGGCATCGGCCTCTTCATATCCATCTTCGCCATGTTATCTGCCGGGATTCTGGAGCTCGTGAGACTCAGATTCGTGCAGAGGCACAATTACTACGACCTGGAGGAGGTCCCGATGTCGATATTCTGGCAGGTCCCTCAGTACTTCCTTATAGGCTGCGCGGAAGTTTTCACCTTTATCGGCCAGTTGGAGTTTTTCTACGAGCAGGCACCCGACGCCATGAGAAGTCTCTGCTCAGCTCTCTCGCTCACCACTGTCGCGTTAGGGAACTACTTGAGTTCTTTGCTGGTGACTATCGTTACGAGCATTACAGCAAAGAATGGGAAGGCGGGGTGGATTCCAGATAATCTGAACCACGGACACATAGATTACTTCTACTATCTCTTGGCAATTCTCAGTGTGCTCAACTTGGGAGTTTATCTCTGGATTGCCCAGTGGTATACTTACAAAAAACCAGTCGGCCCTCTTCGCTGAACGTTTATTTTGCCCATAGGTTTTCAAGTTGTGTGTTTAAATGGTTCAAGAAACCAACAATATATACTGTTTGGCTGTGTATCAGTAGGTGTAATTGTGTAAGCAACAAGAATGATTGTACTGTTAAAACTAAAGATCAGATTGGAAGTCAAAGACAGGGCATTTGATAATAACAACATAATTAATTACAAACACATTTGATGAACAATTGTGGTACTTCTAAGTTCTAATTCACTTCAGTTCAGAACATTTTGGGAGATGCAATCAGAGTTGAGAAGCATGCTTCTACTGTTTTTGCTTCTTGAACTCCTCAATGGCATCAAATAAAATGGAAGGACACCATTGTCAAAGTGCCCAGAAGTGCATCTTCCATTTCTGGTTCTCTCTGGTAGAAACCTGGCAGTGTTGGCAAAGGCAACACCTTCTGAAACACTTTTCCTACTGGGGATCATTTCAGTCTTGTCAATGGAGCTTCTACCTCTAACAATGCTGCTGTTGCTACGCATAAGCCTCACGCCTTTAAGCTCCTTTGCCTCAATCTCCCTCTTCGGCTTCTCGGGATTATCATGAACTGAACATTTCGTGTTCATGGATTCCCCCGCTAAGTTTTCACCGCGTTTTTGCTTGAAACCAAACACATTGCAGACCTTCTTCCACCTAGTGGACTTCTTCGAGACATTGAAGGGTTTACTAGCTTCAAGAGGAGTGGGTTCCTGGGGGAAAGGCTCAGGCTTTTCGACGCAATGATCTTTGACAGATTTAAGGTGCCAATCTCTCAGCTCCCTCTCGGTGATGACCAATTTGAGACTTGCAGACTTGGATTCGTCGCACTCTAATCCCAAGCCTTTCCTGTCGAAACTCCACACAGAACTCGACCTGTCGAAACTACTCTCCCTTTGGGAATAGGACGAATCCGAATTGGACTGCCCTGAACCCCCAGAGCTACTCTCATCCTCCATGATGGACTGCATTTGCCCATCAATGGATAAGCTATTGCAATCAGAAATGGTGTCCCCTCCTCCCAGCATCATGCTGTCACTAACAGATAACCTAGGAGGAATCCTTGGAGTGTTCCTAGCTACTAAATAGCCACCATCCCAAGAAGCCCTAGGCTCATCCATTATAATCTTGGGATTTTCCACAGACAACCTACCAGCATCAACAGAAAACCTAGGCTCAGTATCGCAGGATCTTCGACCCATTGCGTTTTCCCCAATCTCAGACCGGCTCTCCCTCAACATTTCTACTTTCTGCTTACCCTTTCTTGTAGGCAACGCATTATTGTTACTATTACGATCAACTCTTTTCCCGTCTCCACTTCCGGGCTTCTTAGCAGTCTGTTTTTGACTCCATTTTCGCAATTTCTTGCTGAAAACTGAAGCTGCTTCCCAGAAATTCCCAGCAATGTCCTTCAAATCCTTTGGTTTCTGGCTCTTACTCTGGATTTCAAGATCGATATACTCCTTCATCGTCTTGAGCTCTCCTTCCATGGAGACATCGTCATTAGCAGCATCCTCCACATTTGGCTGCAATGTATTGACAGGAACCCTAATTTCCTCCCCAATTTCCGCATCTTTGACTAGCTCCTCATCGCACTGAGCTAGCCTGGAGAACCTAATGTTCTTCGATTCCACTTTCGTATCCGCATTGGGCGCATTGTTCTTGTCATTGATGTCGAAGAGAAGCGCGAGGGTGTTCCGATCCCCAACATCGCAGGACTTGCGACGGGGCTCGGTGGTGGACCCAGCGGCAGCGTCGAGCCTAGAAGCGGAAACTGACCTGCAGCGCCGGAGATCCGGCGCGAAGGAGGACGAATCTCCGGCGGCATTGCTCCGGCGAGCTCCGCACCCGCCATTTCCGGCGGGGTTCTCGATAAGCGCGGGAATGATGTGCGCGGACGAGAGGTCCGGATCATCGGAAGGCTCGACGGTGGAGAGGCGTTCGCGCAAGCACGCGGCGCATATTCCGGTGGAGGATTGGGTGCGGTGGCGACTGCATCCGGAGCGGGTTCGGGTCCGGTTCCGGGTCCGCGAGTCGGATTTGTGAGTCATTGATTGCGGAAGACGGGAGAAGAGGTTAAAGGAGTGGTACGGTGAGAGGAAGGAGCAGTGGAAGCGTAACAGTAACGAAATGGAAGAAGAAAGAGAGAGAGAGTGACAGTGAGAAAGAAGGCACGGAGACTGAGAGAGCACACTGCACACGGGTACCCTAAGAATGCGAGAAACCTCAAACCCTTCGTAAACCCCCCTTGACTTTGACAATTTTGGTCAAAAAGAGAGACACAACTATAATACCAAAAAGTAACAAATTTAAAAAGAGGTATTATTGTCATTTTGATCATTTAATTATTATTCACTTATTACTTCTTTTTCTTGTTGGAATCAAGGGCCAAATTGTGCAAGTAATTTTTTTATCTGGTTTGAATTTTTAAGATCTCGGAAAATTAGTTGAGATAGATAATAGCGCATATTTTTTCTTCTTCTTTATTTGGAAGGATGATTTTATCTTATGACCTTCACCTCTCATCTGACTTGAAAATAGAGAACGAAGTCCCATTCTGACCCATTCATGAATGGCATGAGCCGCATGCAGAGAGACATGCATGTACAACTTTAAGGGGACGTTTGGTTCACGGAATCTTGGATTACCCCAGATAATAGAATTACCTCCCGGAAGGTAATGTGAGATGTTGGGAATGTAAGATTACCTTGTGTGTTTGGTTTGAATGGTGTAATATAATATTAACTTGTTTGGTTCAAGGTTATATTTTAGGTTATATGGATCAATTTACAATAATGTCTTTAAATAAATAAATAAATAAATAAATAAATATATATATATATATATATATATATATATATATATATATATATATATATATATATAATGTGTGTGTTTATTTATATGTATGAATGTATATCAATGCTTAAATATTAAAAAAAAAAAACTAAATATGTTCTCAACAAAAAAAAAAACTAAATATATAAATATACACATGTATATTTGATTATATAAACATATATTAATTTCATTATTATTATTATTATTATTATTATTATTATTATTATTATTATATAAGGATTAGTTAACAAGGGCAAAGTTGGAATAATTCAAGGTAATCTAAGATTACCTAAAAAAACGGGGGTAATCACATCATCTTGAAACATTACCGCCACATCAGCTTTCAGGTAATATAACATTACCAGGTAATCTTATAACTTGAACCAAACAAGGTAATATAACATTACCAGACTCAGATTACCTAGGTAATCTAAGATGACCTGAACCAAACGGCCCCTAAGGGGTATCTAGTCGACAAATCATCTAGCACCCACTCGACTAGAGGGAAAATTTATCTTCAAAAGTTGATTTTGGTCTTGCATGCTAAACTTCTGGCAATTAGTTACCGAAAATTGTTAATTTTCTCTCATTTCCAGTCGCTATAAGGTAAATGTTAGTTACTATAAAATAAATTTTAGTAATAATGTTGTGTATTTATATTTGAATGAACAATTTTTTTTTAATTGTAACAACCCCAAAAAAAGAAAATTTACATCTTCCAATGATATGAAAAGTGAATAATAATCAAGTAAATAATGTATTCAATTTAGTCTTGAAATTCATATGTTTTGTCAAGACTTAATACATTGTACATTTGAGTATAATAGTTTGTCACAATTGATAAGGAGACATCTAATATTACTATAAAGTCACACTATCTTAATGTAGTCAAAGTGACAAAGTAGACGACATTAGAAGAGTACATAATTCCTCTTTCAATTTCCGGACCCACTAAAATCAAAGTAAATGAAAGATTTTAATTCCCAGTTGAGACTTGAGAGACATACAAGAGAAAATGTGAGAAGTATGTTCATAGAAATCATAGAGATGAAAGCATGGTTGTATTCTGAAGTCTGCTACAGTAGGGTTTGCAGATGAAAATGAAATGAAAGCAGAAAGGGGAAGGCATCAATTCAATCACATCTTGCTATTATTTATAGGGTTACGGTACAAAGAATTTCTCCCTTCAGCAATGATCTCTCCACTTGCTTTGTTCTTCACAACAATGCTGGTTCCAAAATAACTTCCCCTTTTACCCAAAACCCGCCCGGTGATCTCCAATTCATCCTGCCAGATCAGAGTGCCATCAACACACAATTAGTGGCACATTCAAGCTCTGCCAATTATAGGGAACTACAAGAAACAAGGATGAATTGAAACTCAGTACACTAAGGTTTTGGTGATGGCAATAGATTAATGTTTATAGACCAAAAACTGGATGATATGGAAAACAAAGAAACCAAAACACAATTGTATATTATATTCCGCACAATGATTCTGATCTATGGTCAAGCAATAAAGGAACATGTTCTCAAGCTGGAATTCTCGGTATTATTGCAGAAATAATGGAGCTCAATAAACAAACTCACATGAAGCTTTGCAGTAGAGAGATAAGTGATTGAAATGTCAACAGTAACATTAAAGGCCACACCTTCCACATAACCCATTGCACATCCCACTTCATCCACCAGTGTGGCAATCGCCCCACATCCCAGATTCCCATTTTTATCCTATATATATATATATATATGTATTCAAATTCCACAAGGATTACGAATTGATGAACGAATTAATGAATGACAGTAGAAAGAAAATAATGAAGGGAAGTTACGATGAGGCGTGGAGGGACTTTGAAAGTGCAGGAGATGAAACCGGGTCGGCAGCGGTCGACCCGGATGCCTCTGAGGGAAAAATAGCGGTAGAAGGAGGTAAGGTCAACGCCCAGGCGGTGAGGGGTGAAGCTCAGAGACGAAACTCGCTCTGCTTCTTCCTTGCTTGCTGCTTCAACGCTTTCTTTCGCCTTCTCCATCTGCTAATTTCTCCCATCAATCACCAAATCTTCTCTTTTTACAAATCCAAATTACACTTTTTGCTAATTTAAGTTACTTGCTTCCAACTCCATGACGGTTGACACGAAATCTGATCGTCTTTTTCTAATTCAACTTAATTGCTTCCATGATGGTTTCACATGAAATTGATTGTCCTTTATCTAATTGGTTTTTCTCTTTCACTATTCATTAGCTGCCTGCAATACACTCTCAATTTCTCTTACTATTTTCATATTATTATATTTATAAGAAAATATATTAAATAAATCCCTAAACATTATAAAAAAATAATTAAACTCTCGAATTAAAAAAAAATACAATTAAGAACTTCAATTTATTAAAATTAATTAAATAAATCTTATTTATTTCTCGTTGACCGCCTTCGTTTACCAAAAAAATAAATAAATCATCGCCAATCGTCTTCTCCACGATCAGTGGTTGCCTTCTTGGAGAAGGCAATGATGCCTTCTCAACTAACAATGACAACGGGTGACAGTCAAAAAGTCGTCGATTGTGGGTAAAAGTCAAACGATCAAACCTAATGACCATGTTATTCTAGGTGAATAATTGATTACCGGGTCTAAATGTACCAAATTAAAATAACAAGTTTGATGGTTTAATTGTCCATTTTAAATCATTACTACCACACGATCACCACCACCACTATCACATACACCGTCACCACTACCACTGCCACTACCACACCACACTACCACCACTACATCACCACATAATAATGATAATAATAATAATATTTATTATTATTATTATTATTATTATTGTTGTAACAAATAATATGTTCTTTTTTAAAAAAAAATGAACCAAACAAAAAAGAAATACAATTTCTTAATTTTCAATTAAACGAAAAAAAAAATAGTTTTCTTACATTCAGTTAAATATCATAATATTAAAATATTTTTTAAAAATAAGTCATTTAAAAAAAAAATATTTTTCTAAATTTATAAACGGATCTTAAATTTCAACTCCTATCCAAGAATCGCTCGTCGAAAGAGATAAATTTCACATTTAACACCTTTCGTTTGAAATAATAACATACTATCAAATTAAACCACAAGATATTTTGCATAAATCATCAAACATGTTAAAATATAAATTTGATGAAACTCAAAAAATGGGCAACATAGGATGACTAAATGAAGACGACTCAATTGATCAAATATCTCAAAATAAATTCGTAAACCTTATTTTCCTAGTTCTCATGAAAAGCATCTTCATATGTGTTATTTATTCTTCACAACTTTCAATCATTAACAGATAGCAGGCAGATTGAAGAGAAAATCCCAGTTTTTCATCATGTATTCGTTTGAACTCCATATCACAGTAGCAGCCAAAATTTGAGAGAGAATCAAAACAATACAGAAATTCTGGAAATAGAGAAGAAACTCACATCAAGCTTCGCAGTAGAGACGTAATTGATTGAAATGTCAACAGTAACGTTAAACGGCTGCCCTTCCACAAACACCGTCGCACATCCCACTTCATCCACCAGCGTAGCGATCGCCCCGGATCCCAAATTCCCGTTCGTATCCTGTATATTCAAATCCGAAAAGCCTCAATTTCTCCAAATTATTATCGAAGAATTGATAGTAGCAAGGAGTTAGAGAATGATCGGAAGTTATGGAGGCCGGATTTGGCCGTCTCTGATCTTACGGTGAGGCGCGGCGGGACTTTGAAAGTGCAGGAGATGAAACCGGGTCGGTAACTGTCAACCCGGATTCCTCGGAGGGAAAAGTAGCGGTAGAAACTGGTAACGTCGACGCCGAGGCGGTGAGGAGTGAAGCTCAGCGATGAAACTCTCTCCGCTTCTTCTTTGCTCGCTTCCAGACTTTCTTTCGCCTTCTCCATTCACTCTGATCTCTCTCCCCCACCCCCCAATCCAATCATTCTCTCAATCTTTTCTTCTCCCACCTTTTTATCACCGCTTTTCTCTTTTCCTTTAATTTTCCTCACATTTTATGCATGTTGTTTTATATATATGGACCAACTTTTCTTCTTCTCTTCTTGATTACTTTAATCTGGGTAAACTTCTTGAATTGCTCTCAGTAACCCTAAACATTTCTGAGAATTTACTGCAGGTTTCGTGAAAGAAAGTGGTGTTTTTTTTTTTTTTTTTTTTTTTTTTTTTTTTTTGTTTTTTAATTTGTTTGTATTAATTATTAAGGTTAAGACTAAAGATAATGATGAAAGTGATATTCCGACATATTTTAAGGCTATCTTTTCCGATTTAAGCTACATTATTCTGCTTTATCTTTACCTATTTTTTTCTACTTTAATCGCAAGATTCCAATTCAATCAATTCTCCTCAGTCTACTGTTTTACCGACTCTCCGCATGGATTCTCCGGTGGCTCTCCGGCGTACAACGTTGATTCCCGGCAGCCTCCGATTAAACCTTAATCCCTCCAAACCCTCGCTGTCGTTCAACGTCAAGACACGGGCAGCGAGCTCATCGAGCAAGAGCTACTCTAAGTCCTTTGATTTACTGGGGCCGAAATACCTGGCTCGGACTCTCTGGTTGAACGGGAACGGAAACGGAAACGGAAACAGAGCTTCGTCTAATGATGTTCCGTCAACCGCCGACGGTCCCGCCGGTGTGCTTGAGCCGAGCTGGGTGGAGTTCGTCACGTCGGAGAGAGTCAAAGTTGTGGCTATGGTGGGCTTGGCTTTAGCTCTGTGTAACGCCGATCGAGTTGTCATGTCGGTGGCCATTGTTCCGCTGTCGATCTCCCGGGCTTGGCGTCAATCTTTCGCCGGCGTTGTTCAGGTAAGTTCCTGTCTCTTTAACTCATATGATACATTTACTATAAACTCAGGCTACATCTTTACAAACTACATATTGTTGGTACTAACTTATTTTTGAAATAGCTTTTCAAAATAAGCCTTTATTTAAATTACTAGCTTATTTTGGGAACATTACTATACAGTGCTTATTGTTTATTACTAGCTTAAAATAAGGTATAAGCTCCTAAATAAGCTCTGTCAAACAGAACCATAGTTCTATAGATACATCCAAAGCCATAATCTGCAGAGAAGGCATCAAGAGGGGGGTTTGGGTTTATAGTATTCAACCTTCTTATATAAAAATGCAAATGCAAGTACTAAAGCAGTGTGCTATGTCTATTACAACATAAGCAGAAGCAAGTTTTTGTTGTGTTGTGTTGCTCTGATTGATGAATATGTATGTATATATACTAATGGCAGTCGTCTTTTCTCTGGGGTTACCTAATATCACCAATAGCCGGAGGGACTCTGGCAGATTATTTTGGTGGCAAAGTAGTCATGGCTTGGGGCGTGGCTCTGTGGTCTTTAGCCACGTTCCTAACCCCGTGGGCTGCAGAAGTTTCGATATGGATGCTCCTTCTCATGCGGATGTTGCTAGGCATTGCTGAAGGCGTCGCTTTGCCCTGCATGAACAATATGATTGCAAGGTATTTGGTTGTCATCATCTGCTAAATAGTACTAGCTAGCTATGTTTCTTGTAGGATCAAAACTGTGAACTTTTTCTTTCGATGTTTTGTTTTTAGATGGTTTCCTCAGACAGAACGCTCGAGGGCTGTAGGGCTTGCAATGGCTGGATTTCAACTCGGGAGTGCGATTGGACTCACGCTTTCCCCAATTCTTATGTCCCAGGGCGGGATATTTGGACCGTTTGTCATATTCGGATTATGTGGGTTCCTTTGGGTGCTAGTTTGGGTGTCTGCAGTCTCCAGCACACCTGAGCGGAGTCATCAAATCTCATTACACGAATTGCAGTACATACAGAACAAGGGACCGAGACATGCTGTTGACAGTAAAATGAAAACAGGCAAAGTGATTCCCCCTTTCAGGCGTTTGCTCTCTAAGCCACCAACGTGGTCTCTAATCGTTGCAAATGCCATGCATAGCTGGGTAACTTCTTTTATTTGTCGCTATTAAGTATTAACATTCAAAGATGAGTCTTTTGAATGTCTGTCTTATACTCAGCGTTAGTATCTTTGCAATGCAGGGCTTCTTTGTTATACTTTCATGGATGCCAATCTACTTCAAAACCGTAAGAAAACAAGACCTTAATTTATTTGTGTTTCTTTATCTCAGACTTGAATGACTTATATATAACCTTTGGAGATTCCTATTGCCCCTCCCTTGTAGATATACCATGTTGATCTCAGACAGGCGGCATGGTTTAGTGCCGTCCCGTGGAGCGTGATGGCGTTGATGGGCTATTTTGCTGGTGTTTTATCAGACTCAATGATCCAAAGTGGCATAAGTGTTACACTTACCCGCAAAGTCATGCAAGTATGCATGGTTATTCCTACCATACTTGTAGAATGAAAAGTTCATTGCATCTTATATGGATATTTTCTGCGTCTTTTTCTGTGTAGTCAATTGGTTTCTTTGGTCCTTGCACTGCTCTTGTTGGTTTAACCACTGCTCCAACTCCAGTAATAGCATCTGCTTGGCTGACTTTAGCTGTTGGCTTGAAGGCGTTTAGTCATTGCGGCTTCCTCGTTAACTTTCAGGTTTGTAAGAAATTCTCTCGTGTTCTGTTTCTCGTTTCCATGCTACCTAGCTAGTAACTGATCTCGGTTCTTCAATGACCAGGAGATCGCCCCCCAGTATTCAGGCGTTCTACACGGTAATTTCTCCTTGAGACTATACGATTTATTAGGCGTTTTAATGGTTATTCTTGCCCGTATACATATATATATATATATAGGTATATCGAACACAGGAGGGACATTAGCAGCCATCATTGGGACTGTTGGTGCTGGCTTCTTTGTGGAGTTGGTTGGCTCTTTCAAGGGATTTTTGCTGCTCACAGCATTTCTGTACTTCTCTGCTGCTGTCTTCTACAATGCCTTTTCCACAGGGGAGAGAGTCAACTTTGATGAAACCACTTAGATTCTAGGATGTTTTATCTCCTCCACCCCCATGGCTTCATACAAATCATGGGAAGAAGAAGATGTTAATTTCCCAGAAAAAAAATGTGGGAATCAATGTCTGTCACTCTGTCAAGAAGTCATCTTTATGAACTTTTCGAATAAAGATTTTCGTTTTTGGACTTCGTCATCTTTATCCTTCAATTCTTAAATCAAGAATAGACCAATCCCACATTCCCACTAGTTGGTCGCGGTTAATACAAAGTTAGTTTTTTTAATTTGAACTGGTTAGCAACTTAACCTTCTCCCTAAAGATTGAATTCTCAATCTAAGGTCCCCACACCCTGATTCAACAGAATAAAAGTAGTTCAATGATTCAGCAAACAGAATCAAATGTTGTGTGCACAAAAGATCTGTCCATTTTGAATATAACCTTCACTTTGTCGTTGCTGAGATTCAAACATTGATCTCTTCTTCCAAAGCTGATTTGTCTCCTTGTAATCTTTTTATCGACTAAGATTAGAATACAAAGTTTACCTAATGTACCCTCGTAAGTTGTAAGTGTCTCCCTCCAAAAAAGGATAGTGTTTCTAGTTGACAGTTGAATAATGCTAATTAACTTTCCCACGACACATACAACATTGACAAGTGATTTGAAGGAGTCACGCTGTAGTAAATTAGTAATAGTTGACACAAATATAAAGCCGCCTTTAGCATAAACAAATGATGCCAGAACGGACCAAGTAACACGCCAGTTCAGCAAATGAGAAAGCAATCGTCGGCTTCTCCCGCGACCACCGTCAGTCGCGATCAGCTCTGCAAATCCGCCATTACAGACAATCACAAAAGTTACCCTTTCTTCAGATTCATCAAAGCCTCCACAAGAAAACTTTCCGCCGCATTTCTTTTCTGGCGAAAGAGGCCAAACTCCAAGATTCTTGAGGGTGAGACCACTCAGACCAGGACAATCCAGAGCCCCATCAGGGACCTTTCATGTCAGTTACTAACCTTAATTACTGTCACTGTAGAAACTAATGATCCCGATGTTTGTTTGATTCTGTTTTTTTTTTTTTTTTTTTATTGCTGTTTGAATAGACAGTTCTGCCGGGAGCGAGAAGAAAGGTTTGGGGAGATTAAGGAACTCGAGCTCCCGAGGATCTTCTACTGCTGCGTCTGCCAGTGGAGAATTGGGCACGGTTGACTTGTCTTTCGATGAAATTTGCAAAGGAACTGGGAATTTCTCTGCGGCAAATAAGATTGGGGAAGGAAGATTTGGAACGGTGTACAAGGCGAAGCTCAGAGATGGATCTTGCGTAGCCATTAAGCGAGCTAGAAAGGTAGGTAAATATATTCTTTGTCAAACCACCATGGTCCATGAATTCAACAAGTTTAACTACCAAAAAAATTGCATTCTTTGTTGTCGAACCACGTAAATCTTGTCTTCTTGATTAGAACTTTCTGTCATTATTTTGAATTTTTGTTCTGGTTAATCTCAGTAGTACAGTTATAATATATGGGCAGGATAATTATGATAATCGTCTGACAGCAGAGTTCAAGAATGAGATCATGGTTTTATCGAAGATTGAGCATCTGAACCTTGTGAGGTACTATGGGTATTTGGAGCACAGAGATGAGAAGATCATTGTTGTTGAATATGTCAGCAATGGGACTCTCCGGGAACATTTGGATGGTAATGCAATGCAGTGGGAATTTACACCTAATAAATAGATTATATACCTATCTTGCTAAGATTTCTCAAGGGGTTTTGTATGGTGCAGGTGCGCAGGGAAAGTGCCTTGAAATGGCAGAGCGTTTAGACATTGCAATTGATGTAGCACACGCCATTACTTATTTGCACATGTACACAGGTATGTAGTATCTCGGGTTTCAGTCATGGTGTTTAGAACACGAGAGAAGTGTTATGAGGATTGGATTCATTCTTGTCTGTATTATATTACAGATCCTCCAATCATACACAGAGACATAAAGTCTACCAACGTCTTCATCACGGACAACTTCCATGCCAAAGTTGCAGACTTTGGGTTTGCGCGGTTAGCTGCAGAAGAAGATGCAGATGCCACTCACATATCCACACAGGTGAAAGGAACAGCCGGGTACCTGGACCCCGAGTACTTGAAGACATATCAGCTAACCGAGAAGAGTGATGTGTACTCGTTTGGAGTTTTGTTGGTCGAGATTGTCACGGGGAGAAGTCCAATTGAACAGACATTCAGTTCTGATGAGAAGCTAACAACAAAATGGGTAAGTTAAGCTTCTGTCGAGTGTAAAGAAGAGTGCAAAACATTATTGTTATAGTATTTTTTGTATAATTGTGTTTAGGCGTTGAAGATACTGAAAAGAGGAGATACTGTAATGGCTATGGATCCAAGATTACGAAGAAGTCCAGCTTCCGTTGAGGCAGTGGAGAAGGTACTTAAAGTGGCACATCTATGTGTTGCGCCTTCAAGATCGGGAAGGCCATCCATGAGAAAATGTGCAGAGGTGCTATGGAGAGTTAGGAAAGAATTCAGAGATCGAAGTGTACATTCCAGTGCTGCTGCTTCTGCATCTTACTACACAGCTTTTGTAGGGAAAAATTCCCCCACGCCCAGTGTTGATTTTAGCGATAAACTTAAGTTTGCTTCTGCTTAAACAACCCTCATTATTTGTTTGTACTGAAAACACTTGTAAGAAAAGGCTATGCCAACAACACACAAAAATACTAAATAAAATAATTATTGAGGACAGATTGCCACTTGCCAGTGAATAATTATTGAGAGTAAATAAAAGTGGGGTTAAGCTCTTTAAGTCTCAATACACACTAGTCTCAGTCCACAACCATCTAAGAAAAAGACATGCCTACAACAGATGAAGTGGGGGGGTTTTCATGGCGAAGGGGAGGCAGAATCGGACATAACAGATCTGGAATGAGATCTTGAAGATGGACTTGCACTCCTAGAATGGCTTCTAGAAGAGCAACTATCATAACCACTTCTCCTAGAACTCTTCCTGGGACTCGGAGAAATGCTGCGATAGGAGCCTCTCAAGTCCTTTGATGGCGGGGAGACGCTTCTCGAGTAGCTTCTTCTGCGGCGCCTTGGAGATACGCTGGGTGAGTAACTTCTCCTGTACCTTCGATACCTGGGTGGTGAGATACTCCGGGAGATTGAGCGATACCGTTGGCTTCTTCGGTAATAATAATCTCTATCATCAGGGGAGCGGTAACTGCTCCTCCTATAGTAGTAGCCATCATCAGGAGAACGGTACCTAGAGTAGTAAGGAGAGTTGGATGGGGAGCGGGACACAGATCTCGAGTAGGATCTACCACGGCCATATGGAGAGTAAGAGTGGCGGCTCCGGCGACTGTAATGTGGTGAATATGATCTGCGCCTGCGCCTATAATACGGGGAGTATGATCTGCTCCTGCTCCTGCTCCTGTCTCGCTCAGAAGAATATCGGGGAGAGCGACTCCTGGAATAACTTGGTGAACGTCGCTCTGCATTAATTAAAAGATATCGTCAGTGTTTCATACGGAGTACTAAAATTACCAAGTCAAAGCTCAGTATCAACAACAGAATTATCATACCGCGATCTATTCTCAATCCAAGATACCTCCCGGGAGTAGGTGTGCGGCCTCTTCTCCTCCTAGCCTGCACCAGTGACAGAGTATGAGATCACAAAGTAAAACCTCCAATGACTAAAAGCTTCTGAATGCCGAAATTACTATAGAAAAATTATATATAGTCGCAAGGCAACATTGCAAGGAAAAAAGAGAAATGCAGGGCATACAACCCTCTGACTAAATAGTCTGTTTGCGTGATGAGTTTGATTTGATTTGTTAATTTGACTTTGGTGAAGAGCTGCTCTACACACAGCTACCCTGCTGTCACAGAAACTTCAGGCGAAACAAGCAAACAACTTTCAAACTCAATAAAGCTAGGAGGAAGCAATGAATGATGTATTTATAGAACTATGATGTGAAAATAAAGGAGGTGTAAATAAGAGAGTTACAAACAGATAATGGCAGTTTACCTTCTCAACAGTGATAACACGACCTTCAAGCACAGACCGGTTTAAATACTTGATGCACCTATCAGCATCTTCAAGTTTGGACATTGTCACAAAAGCAAATCCACGTGATTCTCTGGTCCATGGATCAATAACAAGATGAACATCTTCAACCTGAAAAGAACACAACTCACAAATGCATGTAAGCACATGCCAAATAGGCACGCAGTTTTCTAAAAACTCTCATCAGACATAGCAGGCACGTCTGACAACTAAATTAACCAAGTTAGGAATGCAACATTGTATAGAAGCAAGATGTGTGGTTTTCCATCCATGCATACCTTTCCCTCAGAAGAAAAATGCTTCTCAAGATCCTTCTGTCTCACTCGGGTTGAAAGTCCAGTTACATACAAATTATTCCCAGGATTTTCAGCATCACTTGAGTACCGACTCCTGTCAAACATACCAAATACACCACATATTAAGTAAAAAACACAGAAAAATATTATTCATATATATCCTCTGAAAATTTAGATGGACCAGAGCAATGAAGTGACCTTGATGGGCTCCTTGATACAGATGGGGACTTAGAGAGTGACCTTGAGACAGATCTGCTGTAATGCTTGTACGAAGGAGAGCGTGAATACCTGAAGGAAAATTAGCATTATTTAGCACAATGAAGGAGATGACAACATATAGAGCATAGAGAGAAGAAGAAAATATCAACTTCAGAACACACCTTGATCTTTTGGAGTACGACATCTGTGAAAAGATAAATAAAACTAAGCTTGTTAGAATCAGTGCATAATTTGATAAATCATAAATTGTTCTTCAGGGTAATAGAGTACTGTATTATATTGTGATATGTTAAACAATTTAAACTAAAAGGTGAAGGTCTCAGGCACACAACATAACCCATCAGCAAGAAATGATCATTGAATAATATGTAAAACAAAAATGCACAATATTATAAATAGATTCATAGTTTAGCATTTACATAAGAAGTTGGACCCACAGATTAGAGGAAGAGAAATTTGATGCCAAACTTAATTTTGTATGCTCCATTCTTGTTTCCAATTACTCACAAGCCAAATAATAAGAAAACTATTTTCATGACAATAAGCATGTCTTACTGGGAAATTCCCTCCATTCTTGTTTCCAATTACTCACAAGCCAAATAATAAGAAAACTATTTTTCATGACAATAAGCATGTCTCACTGGGAAATTCACTTCTGCACAATAGTTGTAATACTCATTATAATGTCTATTAGACAAATTTTGCAGAAAGGATCTAAAAGAATTAAATTGCTACAATTTATGGCAGATGTGACAAACAATTTCCATTGGTTAGGTTAAAAAACATGATCGTAAAGAACCAATGAACAAAAAACTCAAAAATATCATAAGGAAAAGCTTTGGATCGAAGAAAAGGATAATCAAGGGTAACCGTAAAATACCAAACCATCTTTAGGAACGCAAGAATTCACATCATTTCCACTTAATCCAACACAATAATATGCACCCCATAATAAAATGCTATAACATATTAACATCTAATATTCTAATCAAATCAATCGAGCTTCAATTCCATATAAATAACACATGGACAAATTCGACGCAGTATACAGAAAGATAAATATAAATACACAAACCATAATCGTTTCAGAAATTGAAGCAGAAATCATAAGAAATCGAGAAGGACTTACGTTAATTAGCTTTCGTAGAACGACACAGTTCTCTTCTTCCGGGGGGACGTCTGAGGCTCTGAGATATGAAGACTCTCGAATAGTCTGGATCCGCACGGGTAGGGACAGTTTATACACTCCGTTGGGAATAGAAGTTTCTGGAGTAGCGGATGCGAAATTTCATTTAAATATGGTTAAATTTTTCGACAAATTTTTATGTGGATCATGGTTCAGACTTCATAGTGCTGGGTGGACTATAAAAAATATTTTTAATATTTTAAAAATATATTATTTATATACTGAATATACATTATATAAAATAATATATTTTTAGTATTCAAATAATATATTTTCTTCGAATATTTATATATTAAATATACATTATGTAATAGTATATAAAATAATATATACTTTCAATATTCTTTATGGTCCACACCGTTGTTTAAATCAATCCATACAATAACAACTCAATTTTTCCTTTGCCGTCTTCTACTGATTCTCTCTATGAGCGGCCCACCAATATCGATAAATTATTGTGTGTACCATAAATATCAAATATATTTCTAATATATTAAAAATACATTATTTTTGTATTGGATGTACATTATATAAAATAATGTATCATTAATATATTAAAAATGTATTTTCAAAAAATGTATCTTACGTACATAAATAATGTACCATTAATATATTAAAAATATATTTTTTATTTATGGTTCACACAGTTATATGAACTATGATCCATGTAATAATGATTGGTCAATATCTACGTCAACTTTTTAGCCCATTATTACATATGGGCCGTTAGTGTTGTCCCCCCAACGTCCCATTCTAGCTCAACTAATGATTATGACAAATTATACCGTGCGCCAGGGCGCACAATGTATTGTGCATCCTGTCCAAAACGATGTAGTTGAGCATGTAAAAAAAAAAACTTCGCTGAGTTGAGTGCTCAACTCAATTGAATTAGATGCACAACTCGGCGCCTAAGGTGTCTAGTCAGCCGATTAAAAATCGCATAGGACTTAAATCACCTCAACCTAGGGCCCCGTTTGGTTCGCAGAAAATATTTAAGGGGAAATGAAATTGAAATTCCATGGAAAAGAAATTACCGGGAAGATTAATTACATTGTTTGGTTGGTGAAAAATAAATTACTGTGAACATCGATTCCATTGTTTGGTTGAGTTTGAAATTGTAAGGAATAATGAGTATAAAGACAATTATACCCCTACATAATAATAACAACAATAATAATAATTGTAATTAAGAAAAATTGATGAGGGTATAATTGTCCTACTTGTTTTCCATGGAAAACAAAATACCAAGGGAGACCATGGAAAATGTTTTCCTCATTTTTTAGGAAAATGTTTTCCATGAACCAAACAAAAAAAAAAATCTATGGGCCGTTTTTTTTTTTGAAATAGTTTTCCTCAAATTCAAGGAAAACATGCCCTAGGAGGGCCTAGCACCTAATCTTTACAAGTGTTTTTTTTTTTTTGAATGTTACTGACACTATTACATTGTAGTATCTGTTCATATACTTTCTCAATCTACTGAAACACAAAGAACCAATAACACGCCTCCACTGAGGCTCGAACTCGTAACCTTCCAAATAGAAGTCCAACCCGGATACCATTAGACCACATAGTCTTGGTAACAGTACTTATATTACCTAAAATGAATCTTCAGTAACTTAAAAATAAACTGATCATAGTCCATTGTATAATTTGCCGTATCAAATCAATAGTCCAATAGCAATCTTGTGTAAATCCTTACTCAACTTGAGATTGGCCTTGTCCTTGTTCTGGTAGACACAACTCACACAAGCCCAAATGTCACTATAAATAATTAAATACGATTGCAACCCTGTGCAAATCCTTATTTAACTCAAAGGAAAATACTACTTTGATTCCAAGTCTTATTTCTTCATTCAAAATTTTGATATTGACATTTTTTTTTGAAACTCACAAAATGAAGATAACTTATCATCTCTTATCACATTATGGAGTAAAAGTAAAAGTAGAAATTGAGAGTTCATGTAGTAAAACTTAAACTCAAATTCGACCTTGCCCTTGTCCTTACAAAGGGCAGTCAAGGGCAATCAAAATTATACCTAGGTACATTCCAACCCTATAAAATTTTTTACTCAACTTGAGACTGAAATCTAATATTTTTTTGTTGGGTGTGATGAAGAAAAAAGACAAACAATATCTGAAAATATACATTAGTAAAATATACTCATGTGTAATAACCCACTACCCTAACTTTGTCATGGTAGATCATAGATGGTGGTCCAAATTATATACAGCCTCGGCTTTAGCAAATAGCAATCATCATGTGGAATACTATAGATAAACACATTGTAGAAATTTCAAATTGGCATTAATAAGATTATCGGATCACAAGACCACATTTCGATTATGGTTCTAAACCGAAAGTTCACGGTTCTTGAAAATGACAAATCAGAAGCGCTAATTCGAACTGATTTTTTTTTTAAAATTATATTTTCTATTTTTAAAACAATTCAAATTTAACATTTTTTTTTCGTTGGACATCCCTACCTATGAACTCATATATGTTTACTTATTAAAAAGTTCTCTAATTTTGGAGAGTTCTGTTTAACCTTTTATTTTCTAAAGTGGTTTCTATTTGTGCAAGTGTGTGTCAATCAACCCTTCAAAAAAAAATTTGCAGAAACAAGATGTACCAAATGTATCACTGAAATGATAACGCAGATAGTGGCTGCTGGCTTTTTTTAGTTTGGAACCAGAACTAGCCGTTTCAGTTCTTGATATCATCAAATCGAAACTGAAACCTTTTGAATTCCAGTTCAGTTTCTACACTACCCTGTTCGTGGTCATATCCCTACATCGGATTGCTCTAGACAGTATACTTTCAAATCTCGGAATATGAGATGAGCGCACAGTGATGAGGAACGCAATGTGAATACATTAGTTTCCAAATGATGAAACAATCTGGTAATTTTGATTTACACTGAATAGGTGTACCATGTTGAATATTTCTACGGTTCTACCTATGCAATTGTAAAATCTCACTCAATGTGTCTTCATATGGCCTCTTGGAGTGGTAATTCTCTTCCTGAGTACTAGAATCATAAATTTCTGTCATACGTATATTACAGTAATTGTTCATCTTTACTGTTTATTCAAGATTCATCAACTAATGAACTGGAAGAGAAAAAGCATCAGGCCTATATTACCAAAAAGGCATTCCAGGATGCTCCTTCAATAAATAAATCCCCTCAGCATACCCAAGTGGAATGACTATTTGCAAGGAGAGCAACCGAATATTTCACAAAAAGAATTTCCAGATTGAGGCTATTCAAAAAAATCCTTAGCTTCGTTTAATTTCTCATATGAAGAAGAATCTCTTGACCTGCCATTAAAATTTTAAAAAAAAAATAAAAAATAAAAGAACAGTTATTATAAATTATATAGCATAGTTCAAAACAACAAAATCAGTAACCATGATGTTGTAAACTTTTCTTACAATCAGTTAGAGAAGAAAGGAAAAATAAAAGCACCAAATCCTTCAGCAAGTTGATGACCTCATGTCAAATACACAGGTTCACAATCATAAGCAGAGGATTAAATTGAAAGATGACTATAGCTTGTAGAAGACTGTTTCTCTCACAAAAAGATTAGTGTAGTCAGACTCCTAGAAAAAGAAGCAAATCAAACTAATAGTTGGACTGCAGGTCTGGGAAGGAAGATGTGCGTGGACCAAATTACATTTGTTTTCAGGGTTTGTTTCCAAAGCTTAGCTATGACATTTCCTAATGATCAATGGTGCGCACGTGGCTACTATGCGGCTAGGCTAAACTCAACTAGCAAACTGAAATCAGCATATTGCCACAAACATGTTTTGAGTAACTCAGCCGACTAAACAAATTGGCAGACAAATAGCACTACTGGCTGTATAAAATCTAGACTAGATATTAACATGCTTATAGAAAATTAGGGAGGGTTCTAGAACTAGATTAATAGCCATAGGGTCAAGTAAATCTCCACCATCCATTGAGGAAGTGGAATGACTATAAATACGGGGATCATTTGCAATTAACCCCAACAATTCGAGAGTTCAAGCAATCCAAGTTCCATACAAGGCTTACGAGTTCTTTCTTAAGCTCGTTTACTTAGCATCACTTCCGAAGGTCGAGCAAGGCTAACTTAGCTATTGGATGTCGTTATCGAGAATGAGTCCGAGACATTATACTACCAATTGTCAGTGACGTTGGCATGAAAGAAATACAAAACCAGCAACAGTAATATCCTATTTAAGAGTTCTAGTGATTCAAAATCTATACAAAGATATATATGTTTAAAACATTAACCCTTTGTCGTGATGGAATATGTACTTACACGCTCAAAAGTCAAAAACATGATAACATTCCATAATCCTAGTCGAGTGAAATTGGGAAGGAAGCCCTTATAGAAGGCAAAAGGACCCTGCAAAATGCATTACTCACAATAAATTAACGAGTAACATCATTTGAAATTCTCAAACCTCTAACTATTCATATGATGTTCACATATCAGTCAAGATCTAGTCGTCTTCACTAACCAATGCATCAAAAAATAAATATTTTAAACCAGACAGAAAGTAATTTCACATCTATGAGCTAATGCACACAGCCCACCATAACTTTGAAATTTGGACCAAAGATGATTGTATGTAGAAATTCTATAGAGACAGGAAATGACACAAAATTGACGGAGTAATATTCAAGTGTTGTATTGTACTAATTATCATTACTTGATTCTTCAATGTCTAACTGGCAACTTATACATATCTATCTTATAATTACAGTTACAAGGCCCTAAGGAGAGAAGAAAGACCAGGCAAACTCAGAGACATGATAAGTTCCAGAACCAGGATGAATTTCAAAAGAGCATCTAACAATAAATCAAGAGAGGTTAACTTCTTTTTATTGTCAAAAAGGATGACTTTTCCTCTAAATTTTTTGTTGTAAAAACAAGTAAATTACAATATATGCAATTGATGATATTTTTCATGATTTTGCCCATTGTTTGTTGAGAAGAGATGGCAGATGCAAAAAGAAAAAAGCAGTCTTTGTGCACATTGTGGATGTCATTAAAGTGCTAAAAGGGAAAGAAGTATACCTCATTCTTTAAAGTTTTGAAAAAGCAATCCAAAGTGCTTTTGTAAAATGAATCTCCCATCATTCTAGATTTCACCTAGAAAAGAGAAAATAATTATACGCATCAGATTATCAGCATGGAATGAACAGGTACATATAGTCCAATTGTTTTCCCCATCTCCATCCTCAGTAAACTTCAAACAGAACTACCCACTTTGTGTTGTTTGGTTATCTGTAATATTATTATACATGTGACTTTGCTGGTATATACTATAGATTTCACTGAACTTTCAGAATGTACTTGATTAAGAATTTGAAGAACTTGACACAATAGAAAACTAGAGATTCAGAGGATAAATTGGAAGAAAGTTAATGATAAACCATATGCTAATTATGTTTTTCATCCTGGGGGATATGCAAGCTCTTTTAGTGCCTTAGTGAGGATGTCAAGTGTTAACAGTCTACTTCAGTCAAGTATTTTGTTATCCGCTTCAAAAGCATTACTGCTTAAGATATTAGTTTGGCCACATCCTGGGAATATTTCGCAGCAACATATTACTGTAATAAGCAACAAAATAGTACATCAGAGCACGATAAATATATGATTCTATTTTTCTTAGGAATTTTACCACATCAACAGGAGAGCCAATGCAAACTGCAAAAAATCCCGCACCTACACCAGCTAGAAGATGGGTTAAAGCACTATCAGTGAACCCTGGAATTTTTAAGATTGTCTGCAAAAAGAAATGGTAAAATATAGTTATTGCACTGGTCAAGCTTGTGAAATACGACAATATGATAATGCTTAATAGTTATTGAATAGAGTTACTGATATGATAAACTACATTCAGTAACTGCTAATGCTTAATACGAATTAGTAAATAATAAGCTTATCCATAGAAGAAAAAAAAATATTATTACCTCTTTAACATGATCATAGCTAGCTAGCTCAGCAGCATTTATAATAGCATTTCGTGCAATATTTGGCCCAAGCCCTGTCCATAGAGCTGTCAATCCTTCCTATAATTTTAAACAGTTAAGCTCAAACTTATAAGGTCAACCTGGTTATATAATTGTCCTTCGATACCTGTTTCACTATTGTATAATATGCATCCATAGCTCCAATATAACGCCTAGGTGCACCAACAGGTGCTTTACTCTCAGCCTGAAGTCGAACTTTCACAAGATCAGTGGGATTAGCCACAGCGATTGCAATAGCACCTTTCATGCAATAAAAATCAACTTTAGTTATAAAGTGAAATTACAGCTAGAGATGAAGTTTAGCCCTAAAATTTTAATAACTTACCAGTTAATAGAGCAGCTAGTATTTTACTGAACAAAGAAACTTCTCCAACATGATCACTGCCTATGATGAAGGCCTTAACCTGCCAAACACACATGTAAATACAAATAGCAATGAAGAAAAATAGCTCAACAACAAGAAGTTGAACACTCACAGGCTCATATAACCCGATTCTTAGGCCCCCGTAGAGAAACTGTCGATGTAAGCCAGGTATAACGCCCTTCCAAAGGGCAAGAATTCCTTCCTCCTTAGCAATCGTCACCATAGTACCCAACAAGCCCTTATACTTAGCTCCACCGCCTCCTCCGTCCCCTGAATGGCCTGACGCCGCCCCCTTTTGCAGCTGTAACCTAACTTTTGCTGTGTCAAAAGGTAGAGTACAGAACTGCCACATATCAAAATCAATACAAACACTTCAAATTTTAGCATCACCAAACCACAGCCATTCTACAAATCTAACGCCACCGTCTCGCCGACAGCACTAACTACTCAACAGTCAACACGGATCACTAAATAGCGAAGCGTAACACTGACATTGTGGACAGAAACAGTGAAAACACGAAAATGAGGTGAAATTAAATCGGGAAATTACCTCGGCGAAGCAGGCAGCGAAGGCGCTGCAAGCGAATATTCCGGCGAAAGAGATCTCGTACGCCATTATTGGAAAGCAAAATCCAGCGGCGGTCGGCTTGCGCGGAGAGTGTTTAGATGTGCATGAAGAGCGATTAAGAGTGTAATTATGTTATGATGAGTAATTAACAAGTAAAGGCGTAGACGATAGGCTTCGTTTGATCCCTCTCCACTGTGATCGGTTGAAAGATTCTCCCCTATTGGATCTGCCTTCGCCAATCGCCGGTGTGGTAGTTTCAGATGGCGTCTGCTGCTCCGCTCCAACTAAAATGCATGTGCAGCTTTGGTTAAAGGTATCAAAGTCAAATGAGTCTGAATAAATGACTGTCCCTTGTATATTCCAGATTTGCAGTGGAATTAAACAACCATTTTTTTGGCTTCCTCGTACACAGTACACACTGCACCACACCCTTTTAAACCAAAAAAAATAGAGAGAAGGGTCAAATAGGCCCCTAAACATTTTGCTAAAAGTCAATTAGCCCCATGAACTTTTAAAAAGTTCAATTAAACACATGAACACACGATTTTTGGTCAATTGACCCCATTAGCCAGTAACTTCTCGGATAAAAGTCGGTAATTGCCCATGTGGCGCATCACATCAGCGTTGGATTGCATACTTGGCTACCACATGAGCATAAAACTAAAGAAAAATTAAATTAAAGAAATAAAAAAAAAAAGTTTTAAAATCACGATTCAACTCTAAATTCTAATTCTTTAATTTAATTTTTTGTATTTATGCTTATGTGGCAACCAAGTACCCACTCCAACGCTTATGTGGCGTGACACGGGGGCAATTATCGGTTTTTACCGGAGAAGTTACCGGCTAATGGGGTTAACTGACCAGAAATCATATGTTCATGTGTTCAATTGAACTTTTTAAAAGTTTGTGGGGCTAATTGACTTTTAGCGAAATGTTTATGGGCATATTTGACACTTTTCTCAAAAAAATATCAAGAAAAATGACACTTTTTATGTTTATAACACTTTTTTTTCCCTAATTATTCATGTATCTATATTTAATTTCTTAGTTATTAAAAGTAACCATTTTTTTCTCTTAAAATATCCAGGTTGTTTGGTTGTTGAATTGAGATTTGAGTTGATGCAACTTGTCTACAAAAAGGTGGGACAAGTCATAATAGTTCGACACAATATATTGTGTTGTTCGAAAATTTTATTTTTCTCCTCACAAGTTACAGTTTCCCGTGTCCAAAAAATTTGATTGCCTGATTGGTTGCTTTGAATCTAAGGACAGTGGTTGCCATAAATTCATTTCACCATAGACATTATTGAGAAAAGAGGTTATTAATTTATTATAGATAATAACTAGTCACTTTTATATTATATTTTAATTTTAATAGAATCAGTAATATTAAAAAATAACTAGTTATTTTTATAGTCGGCCAGATAAAAATATCAATTGGCGAGCACATGTCAAAGTGAAGCAATCATTATTATATGGACCATACTATCAAATAATGTACATTTAGTACACAAATAATGTACTTTTAATATATTAAAAATGTATATTGTATTCAAATAAAAGTATATTATTTGAGTACTGAAAGTACATTATTTTGTATAATGTTTAGTACACAAATAATGTATTTTTAGTATATTAAAATATACTTTTTGCTATGGTTCACACAGCACTGTGTGGACCATGATCCACACAATAATTTACCCAAAACGAAGTAATTGGGCTGCTATCGCATTGGGCTTCCAGCCTGTATTAACTACGGCCCATTTTACAAAGCATAGATTTGCACATTGTGCTCAGTTGGCATGTAGTGACTTCCCATCATGAAATTGAGTTTTAATAGAGGCGATGTTGACTCTTTGTTGTGCATGTAATAGAGTCAATAGAAAAAATCATTTGCACATTAGGATCTGACTCAACAAATTATACTGTGGATCACAAATAAATATTTACTTTTTGTATACTGAATATTCATTTTAATGTACTAAAAGCTCATTTTTAAATAATAATATATCAAATTATGAATTTTAGTATACAAAAAATAACAATTTAATATATTAAAAATGAGCCGTGGTTCACCTTACAAACTATGGTACAATGTTTGCTCTGACTCTCCACCAAAAGGCATTCATCCTCTTTCGATGCAACATGCAAGATTATATTGTTGTAGGTTATCTCTCTCCTCTTTTTAATAAGAACTCTCTTGCCATTCTCCCTCATTCATATCCTTAACACAAGAATGTAGATATAGTCTAGTACAAAGTGTAGAACAAATGGGTTTAATAAACTGTTCTGATAAATATATTTTGCAATAGCAGAACTGTTAATTATATCTATAAAACAGAGACTGCGATTTGTGTGGACGCTATTGCTTTAACTGCTTCAGTACACTCGCATGATACTGGTGTAATTGGACACAAGCGAGAAAACAGTAGAGAGTCTTCACTAAACGACCACAAAGGCACTTGATGTACCTGTAAAGTGTTTAATGGAGCCTAGAAGAGACTTTGCAGCACCAAAATGCCTAATTCTGTATACACCAGGAGTGGCTGAGGAGGGTATTCTCCATTCTATGGTTGCTTCACTTCTAGGACTTAGTTTAGCGGGTCTTGACCAAATAAACCTAAGACAGAAGTCATCATCGTCGTAAGCAGGAAGCCAGGTGTCCTTTCCTTGGAGGATCTCCACAAGGGCAAATGTACCCTCGGTCATGAGGTCATTTCGGGGGCATGCTGATTGGAAAACAACTGTCACCAGGTCGCCCCTCTTCGCAGTGGAGTTTTTAGGAACATCTGTCACGACATCTCCAAAGCTAGTGCCAAGTGGTGTTGTATCCATTACAACTGGTGTCAAGAAGCTCAGCTGCTTGTCTAGTAAATCTGGAGGATTGGGGCCTGCTTCCACGGACAGACCAGTTACCATGGCCTTTGCAAGCTTCTTAAACTCTTGAATGTAGGCATTCAGTGTATGTGGACCATACAATGTCGAGGCACCCTGAAAATGTTCAAATATATGGATACTTAATAACTTAAATAGATTTTAAACCATGTACAAATTCTGAAAGCGGTAGTAATAGCTCCCTCCATATCCCAAGCCTAAGTATTTCTGTTTCTATAATTCTATATACCAGATTTTTATTTTTGAGTTTTAACTTTTTAAACAGATTGGAGTAACATAAAGAAATTAGTTCCATGTGAAGGTAAAAAGCGAGTGGCATGTATGATGTAACACAATTGTGTTCCATAAATCATGTTGTAACTCAGTCAACTAACCTCATATCTTTGTATCTCATACTCCTCATACGTAGTAACATATTGTGAATATGTATTAGTCAACCCAGCTATCACAACATGAACATTACTGTTGAATTCTGATGCGGCACTTGTGAGCACTGTTTTTATTGCATCTCGTAGACGCCTCCCAGCCATTGTAGTGAATTCTAATAGAAAACCAAACAGATGAAAATACTATGACTGCCAAGTAGCAAACTTACACATACAGTGATACAGATTAAAGGTAAACTTCGATCAAAATTAGTTTTAAGGTGTTTTTAGAGGAGGTGACTGCAAAACTTCAGGATCTTTAGACATTAATAAAATAAAAATTGGAAGCACAAATATTTCTACTCAAAAATTTGACCTTTGATACTATGAAGATTGAGTTATGAAGAACATAACCATGACAGTGAACAAGACAATGAACAAGACACTGAATCCGAAAAATACCTCCAGGTACACTGAGAATTACAAGCTGCCCTACTCTAAAGATCTGGATTGGAAGTATTGAAGGCTGCAAGAATCATTAAAAAAAAAAGTAAGTTATTTAGGTTACTCCCTGACTCCCTGTCATTATTTTTGGTAAATAAAATGGAAAGGAGTGATGGTTCCTGCAAACCCACTGAACAGTGGCAATGGCTTATTGGGACCAGTGACGGATCCAGAAAATCATTGAGTGGGGGCGAAGTTTAAATGACGATAGAAATGTCAATGACAAACTATCAAACAACCATAATAAGGTTAAAATACAAAATACATTATAAATTACAATAGAATGTTTTTGATAAATTACATGATAGTTAGGGTCGGAGCCAAAAATATACTTGAGTGGGGTGAAAATGTGAAAGTATTTATGACAAAATATGAAACATAATCAATTAGATAAAATAATTTGAATAACACTATATTCATAAATACTTTTTAATTTTAATTTCTTTTAGTTAGATCAACTTTAAGTTTTTCTAAATTAATTCGAATACAATGAAGTATAATATAAACTTGTATACACATTAATTAAATGATTCATAAAAAGTAGACTAAAAGAGCATTTGATTTGTTATTTAAATGATTCATAAAAAAGTAGACTAAAAAAATATTTAATCTATCTTGTGAAGGGATGAAAGAGAAATAATAAATGAGAGAAGATGAGAGAAAGTGTTACTAATGAGATTTGCATTGAACCTGTGACATAGGCTTTTTAACATCAGATTTAGAGTTAAACCAACTAATATACTCAAACTATTAGTAATTTAAATATAAATATGGATTTAATATAACATTTAATGATATATATGTATATGTATACATACATATATATAAAGGGGTGGGTGGGGGAGGGGGCAGCTGTTGCCAGCAAGGGCAGGACTCAAAGGTCACATTCCAACCCCATGGGTCAAACAGCTATACCATCCCCACCAAGCTATTAGGAAGCAACTCAGGAATATGCATGATGATGTTTCTATTGATGATATATTAGAGCTAAGTGGCATTGGAAGGAAGAAACTCACAGCCCAATCATAAGGCAACTTCATTTCTCCAGTATCGAGCAAAATAGGTTTTGGTTTCTGACACTCCTCTTGTTCCTTACCAGGAGTTTTAAGTAAGTCGCGTACCACTCTCCAAAATGCATTTCCCTAGGTAATATCAAGTTTGAGAAAATGAGTACATTTTAGCTCCATTTGCTACTCTGATAGAACAGAATGCACATAGTTTATCCAACTTCAGTACCTGGTCATCACCCTGTGTAAAATCAAAAGCACCAGGACCATCAGTTGTACCAGCAGCAAATGCAAACCCCATGGCAGCAGGACAGGTTTTCACAACTTCAGTACCACCACCTTCTTTGGGAATGGTCACTTCAAGGTTGGAGAAGTTCAGATAGGTGTGGCGGTAATCAATTTTCCCCTTCAGCTGCTCTGATGCAGAATTGAAAAGTTCCACTGCTTTTTTAAATTGTCTCTCCCCAATGATACGGGTACTCTCAAACTCATCTGGGTATCTGGCACTCATGCAAGAGAAGAAGTTATCATCCATTTAAAACTAAATGGGAATCCTAAATAGTGTAAAATTCATAATGCATACCCTGGTCCTCGTCCATAACATAACTCATTTTTCCCATTACATGTACTGGTATTGAAATCACAAGGTAACCCTGTATCAGTACAGAAA